TCAGTCACTCTCACAGTAAAGAAATTTTTCCTCGTCTTCAGGCAGAACTTCCTGTGTTTCAGTTTGTGCCCATTGCCTCTCCTCCTATCACTCGGCACCACTGAGAAGAGTCTGGCCTCACCCCTCTCCCGAAAAGCAAAACAGCACCCCCATAGGACACTGCCCTGGACAAATGTGCCACAGATCAGCTTCTCTGGCACTGGAGGTAACAATGAAAGTCCAAATAAAGTAGAAGAGAGTGTTCAGCACTTTCTAGGCCTTCTCTCATCTCCAGTGCCAGAATGGAAAGACCAAAGTCTGGTACCTGTTTCAGAGTTTGTCCCTGCTTTTGGAAACCCATTCAACTGTATGCAGGGGAGAAATGTTGGGTCTGCTGTTACTTTTCCAAATAGATTTTTGGGGAGAGCAGAGGAGCGAGGGCAAGGAAAGGTCTGAAGTATGTACTTTCACTCCAAAGCTTTCCCAGGTGCCTCATCTTGCCCTTTGAATGGTAGGGGTGAGCAGGGCACAGAGCAGCAGCCCCACGCTCTGTCAAGTCATCAGTCAGTTTTTTCATCTCCAGGATACTAATGCTTGTTCCTTCTCTCCCACTGCTGTTCTCAGGGTGTCAAGCTATTAGGAGTGAGGATATTCTATGTTCTTAAACACTACGAGTGTGCTGGGAAAAGTGAGGTTTCGATTGTTCGGCGACCCGTATTTTGTAAATCAGAGGTTGTGGCCAAGGAATACCAGGTCAGCTGGGCTCAAGAAGGTGTTCCTGGAAAGAAGACTGGTTGAAATCTTTGCCTGCCCTTGTGCCAAGCTTGAGGTGCATGCAAATTGCACTGAAGACATGACTGAATGCCTCAAATTGGCCTGAGAACAGCTTCAGCCTGTTCAAGTTGAACAGGCTACCCATGAGCAACTGCTCAGAAAGGCCCCTTGGGTGTCCTTGCCTAGCAATATGCCTTCAGCTGGATGCATGTGAGGCACAGGACACTGGCCCTGAAATTGGAGACATTTGCTGGCTGCAAGGGGGCAGAGGGGTAGAAGAATCTTTATGGGCCACTGTGCCATCCTTGCACTTTACTTCTTCCTTGTGTCTATTGACATGGCATAGGCTTAGCCACAGTGCTCTGACTGTGGGCACAGTCACAATGGCCTGGTGCCATGCACTTTGTCATGGGACGTGCAAAGTGTTCCTACCAGATGGTTGGTTTTCTTCTTTCTCTTCCTGCACTGGCAAAATCATCGCTGCCCCCTGAGCACCTAAGTTTGCAGAATGCTCTGACTCTTCTCAGAAAGGACTCCATGAAATGCTCCTAGGTTCTGTAGCAGACGATTCAAGAGCCCGCTCTGTAGCAGCAGTGTCTTGCCAGAAAGTGTTGTCCCCTTGTCATGGGAGCCCACTGCCCTGCTGCAGAGGTGACTTTGTTCCTCTTTTGCTGCTATCTAGGTGATGTAAGAATCATCCCTCTGAGGTGTGAGGATCTATCCATGTGCATCCACATGCTCTTTACAGTGGTGCAGTGCTGCATAAACAAGACCATGATGGCATTCTTTCAGGCCATCTTGAAAAGACAGGGGACACATAATCAACTTCTGACCCTGGCAGGGCTCTGAGTATGTGTTATGCTTTCATCTGCTGCAGGCTTCCTGGCTATCCTTATTGGATAAGCTGATGGCAATCATTTTCCAGCATTCAGCAGTATTTTGAGACTAACTACCACAAAAAACGAAACATTCAGATGCTCTTGTAATGGAACAATAGCTTAAATAGACAGACGTAACCTGACAAGATTGAATGAGAAGAAGGACGTGGGACCACCAAAGCTAAATCTGTCTCTTGTTTTGGCATGACTGATGTCTTCAGCTGCTCAGGGGTCGTCCAGCCCCAGAGGTCCACATGCACAGAAGGTATCTGCCCTCAACGTCCATGCTTCTGCCAGTGAGTGTACGTGAAGCTGCTGAAAAGCCACAGCACTACAGCTTCAGGTGGGATTCACAGTATCCTGCCATTGGGCCAAAGAGAGCACGTGAACTTCATGCTGAAGGACAGAGGTAAGGATACGTAGAAGATGTGTGGACATAGGAGGTTCTGATGCTCGCATTGTGAGGGCTCTCCTTCAACAGTTAATTACAAGCAAAGTTTACGTGCCTAATTCAAGAAAATTATTCATTGCTAGAAAAGGATCATCTGGTTCTAGCAAGTGAGCCACCTGTATTCATAAGCCCCATTCCTTCTCTCTTTCACTCTTCAGTTACATTAACTGGCCCAGCTGCCTTCTGAAACTCTTAACCCCCACCTCCCCCCCCATGCACAACAAATACCACTGAGGGTTTAGCCTTTGGTATCCTTTAGGGTGTAAAGATAGCTGCCCTGTGTAAGAATGCAATGAAAGGTAAGTTAGAATATGGAAATACTTTATTGTGCTAGAGAATATAAACATTTTACTATCATTAAAGGGTGTAATAAAAAGTTATTTTGTTAAAACATGTATTTAATAATCATAATCTTCATCTGATTGCACAATTTGAAGAGGCCCAGCAGAGGCACAGGCTGCAGTTATAAATAAGAGAAAAGGATGTGAGGACGAAGAAAAAAAGTAACAGTAAAAATGCATAAGGGAGGAGGTATAATAAAAGGAGGGGCTAAAATATTCCTTTGGCATTAGCATATAGTCCACTGAGGATAACAGGAAGAAAGCCTTTAACATCAGGTTATTTCTCCTGACAGCCAGCAGAGAAGGAGGCAATAATTAATGATTCGTAAAATCCTGCTCAAGCTACAGGGCTTGCCGTCACACTGCAACTGAAGAGGAGACCATCCAGTTAAACATTATGAGAGTTTTTCCAAAGGGCTGGCCGATTTAACGTCCGCATACGCTACTTGTGACAGCGCACGGTCACAGAGTCGTGGTCACAGCACGGTCACAGCACAGTCCTCTGCTGCTGCTGGTGGAGGAGCCCTTGCCGGACGCACCGGCGGAGGGTGGCCGCGCTGGGGGTGCGCTGCTGCGGAGGGAGCGCCCCTTCCCGCCCCGCAGAG